CTGCTGGTACTTAACGTCTCTTGGAACTCCCAACAGCACACAATCCAGAAATACTATTGCTATCTTCGCTGTTCATTTTTTATTCAACGTGTTAGAGGTGGCGACTTAACGTAGCTAATTTGGAGATTCCAAATTTGGAGAACCATGCAAGGGTAACACAAAGAGTGAGGGAAAATAGATGAAAAACAGATTTTATTATTGCACTTTTCAAGTAATCCTGGACAGATACGGCTCCTGGTACACTCTCTTATCAATCTTGATCTCTCTTAACAGATTGATATATCAAATTACCCTTGCAGGAGGCATTTTCATCTACGAAGTAGGTCTTTTCATGTAAATATCTTACATTTCCCTTTTAGAGAATCAGTTTAAAAACAGGCCTATGTGCCAGGGCACCGAGATTCAATCTGAGTGTTTCCATGCTTTTCACAGATTAATCGAGTCTAATCACTTGTAATTTATATAGTGCTATGATGGTTTATTATTATTTTTTTTCCAACATTTGTGATGCCAGCAATTCTAGGAGCATTTGTAGTCATAAAACACTATTTGGTGATGGCTTGTTTATGACTGGCTCGTTTGTATCTGCTGGCCAATGCACATGTTGGTGCTCACAATGTGTTGCTGTTAAACAACGTGAAAGAATTTTGCCTCGCTCTCTGTAAATTATCTTTAACCTGCTACTGATTCTTTTTTGTTGCTGTGAACCATAAACACTCTTTGATTACTACTGATACTTAAGAACATACTGAAGAGCTAGCTGGCTGGGTACTGGATGGGAAGATGGCAAGGCAGGACTTGAACTGGCGCTCAGCTGGGGGACGGCAGGGCTATAAAGCGTCAGACACATGAACAAATCATTCCGCTTGTGAGCTGACTTCAGAGCTGGTGCTTTTCAATATCTACCCAATGTCAGCAAATTGTTCTTAGCAAGCAAAAAACACAAGACAAAGCAAAACTATGTACCTTTGTACCTATCAAGGTAGCTGCTCCTCCTGGGTGAGGTCACTGTAAGATCCTTTAGGCGGCAAAGTCTCTGCTGGCAACAGCTCCAGCCATAACTCTGCAATGTACCTTGATCTAAACTTTTCCAGAATTGACCCAGTTAGCACTTGGCGACTCCAACACTAGGAAAGCAGAAGCTACAAACTCTGTTTGGGTTTCCTGCTCTGCTGTGTTTTTGCATAGCAATGTGCCTATCTCCCTTGAGTCTCCAGCTGTTGCCACTGCGCTCAGGCTTTCCAGCAGCTTCTTTCTGGAAGATTCTAGAATGTTGGCAGTGAACGGGTCTCATCCATTTTCTTTGACTTATTCAAACATCCTTTGGGAAGGCTAGAAGGCGGTCCTATTGCTCAATGTGATGCAAGCTATCTTGTGGAGATCTGTAGACCACACCCAGCTATTCTGCTTCTCTCAAGTAGTGGAAGGGCATCTAAGTAGCTTATTTAAAATGGCTTTAAATATTATAAATATTGTGAATATTGTGAAAATACTTCATTATTGTAAATATTTTCCAGTGGAAGTCTGAATACAGCGGCATAAAGCAGCAAACCATCATGGCTCAAAAGATTTATTTGTTTGTTATTGTTTAGTGTCTGTGGGGTTTTGTTAAGTAGATAAAACTATGTTAAGATGGAGTAGCTTATATATTGCAACGTTAAAATTTGCTTAATAAATACAAAAATGCGGCCGGCTGCAAACATGAGTAGATGCCAAGTAGTAAAGAAAAATATGAGAAACAGAGAAATTCTGATGCTTTCTTTTAAAAAAGGCATTCATAAGTGAATGAAAAGATTATTTAAAACTATGTTAGCATTATTTTCCATCCATTAACAATGTGCCATTTGTCTTATATTTACAACTTGTAATATTTCTTGCCTTTTCATTCGAAAAACTGTGAAAACTTGATTCAATAAATAATCCGAAAGATAAATGTCCACAACACATTAGTGGAATATTTGGTAAACTCATGGAGTGATGAAAAATACAAAGAATGGAACTCCACCCTACAAAACCCTTGGCGTGGTGTGGAAATAACATTAAGTTTATGGAGAAAGAATTTCAAGAAAATGAGTAATGCTTTGTGTTCACTTGATAGTGGTTATCACCCCTTTCTGCTGAATAATTCACATCTGAATCTATGAAAAAATAATTTATTCTTTTTTAGATTGCGCAATACTCTACGCAAGATGTTGAGGAATGCTTTAGAATTCATATGCAGCTTTCAGAAGATATTAACCATTCCCCTAGATACCGATTCATAGGAATTCTTTCCTAAATAGTCACATGTAATATGAACATATACAAGTTATCTGAGATCGTACAAGGCATACCTTAATTTTTGATCTCACTTTTTCACTAGCTTTACTCTGTTAAAAGTGTATAGATTTTTTTTTAAATCTCCAGTTATTATTATAAAGAAGCTGCTTCAACTGTGTAATATCTGCTCTAAAGAAATGCAGAAACATCCACGCAAACTGAAGGCTTGAATCCAAAAGTTAGTCTAAGCTAAATCGTGCTTGTGGTCAGAGAAGAATTGCAATTTATAATGCAATTGTTTTATTTACAGTTTTTGCTGCTGTTGGATGATCAAATGATGAATTTTTCTACTCATTGAATAAACTTATTCAAAGTTCAATCATCAGTCAGTGTGATAAGACATCACAGTTAAATGACTTTCTGGCACAATGAGACCAAAATGCACCACTAAGTTTCTATATGAACCTCTTTTTCAATGACGATGTCCTAGTCCTCTTAATTTCACTTTCACTAATTGATTTCAGTTAGTTACCGTAAGTTGCATTTTGAAGATATTTAATGGAGGCACTGATATGATGTTTCAATTGGCTAGGCTTCTTTTTCCAAGGGCTAGCATCCCACATGGGAGGCAGTTTCTGTCCTGGTTGCTCTATTTCCCATCTAGCCCCCTGCTTTTAGCCTGGGAAGTCGGTGACTATGGCCCACAGCCTTGGGACCATGCACCCACATGGGAGACTCAGAGAATGTTCGAGGCTCCTAGCTTCAGGTTGGCTCAGCTCCAGCCATTGCTGCTATGATGTGTGAACCAGTGGATGGAAGATGTTTCTATCCATGCTTTATGAAAATCCACATGTAGAGCAGCTTGTTACGGGTTGGAAGAGAGTCAGAATGACTTAGATGGACTTGTAGCGTGTTCTCCGTGCCACACAAGAGATTGTAAGCTCCCCGTGTGGAGGTTTTGAGTTCCTCCTCTCTGCTATGACTGTGCAGACAACGAGTGTGACAGCAAGTCTCCAGTCTGACAAAGCTGCGGCTGTGACACCCCTGAGATGATGATGCCATGCAAGTAACTGGTATGGAAGCCAGGGTAAGCCCAAAAGGAGCTCGTATTTCAGATAAGAATAACCATGCTTACAATAGGCACACATCGGAGCCAATAGAAGCTGATTGTTAAGCTGGGGCCACTAGGGGGTGAGGAATATGGAACAACAGAGTTATCCCTTTGGAAACTTTTTGCAGGGGAAGAAGGAATCGTGTGTGCACAGGATTAGTCTGAAATAAAGGCAGGTGTTGCTTGCAGGGTCCACGGGAACCCACTTTTTTCACTCTTTGAAAAAAGGGAACGTGCATAAATAAATTTAATAATAATACTCATGATAATAATACGACCACGTGGGAGGCTATCAGTTGAATCCCTTGCGTTGTAGCTTTGGACTTCTACCAGATTCCACGGCCACTGGCATTTGGAGACTGAACCAATGGACAGCAATCTCTCTTCTTCCCTGTCTGTATTATCTATCTCTCTGCTTTTGAACAAAACAAAAGAAATAACTAGCAACAATTTGAAAAAGATCTTTGGACCTAGAGGTGACGTGGAATACAGAAAATCAGAATTTAGTCAATGAGGGTTGCGGCTGTAGAAGCTAAACGAATAAATAACACGGGAGTTGCATCCCTAGTTTTCTTTCTTTCCTATATAGGCATTTTCTTAGTTGTAGATCAGTGCTAGACATTTTACACGCAATGATGTTCAGAAAACCTCATATCACATCTTAGTGTGTATTCCACATGCTAATCAATAAAGCCATTTCAGTAAAGTGTACTTTGGGTGCTATTAAAATCACTATTTTATCCTATGCTTGATGACATGGGCAAATAGACAAGATACACGTCTCAGAACGTTGTTCACAAACAAAACTGTGCTGTCATTAGCTTCTTCGTAATGTCTGTGTCCTTTGCAAGGTAAGAGAGACTTTTATTGAGTTTGATCAACCAATTAGGTCATCGTCTGAAGTGCCAGAAATATGAAAGAAAGATGGTCAGTAAGGTTTCAGTCAGTTTGATCATATTTGCTGACAAAATCATATTACCCATTTCCAAGGCACCAGAACCACCTGTCTCCAACTGCAAGCCCATATTGAGTGACTGGAGTTAAAGTCATATTATCAAAGTTGCAAAAATGTTGTCAGTTTAAAGACAAAGATGTCCTTGGTTTAGTTCCCAGGGACTACGATTACTTGAGTGATTTCTTATTATATTACTCAGAAGTTCATTTAGAGTTTATAGCATTACATTTATTTATTTAGGTTTTATATATATATATATAAAACAAATACTTGAAATTCTTTTTATATTATCCATTTATTTAAAATGACAGCTGCACAGGCATAATTTTAAATGTTCATAGACACTGCAGTTAAACATAATTTTATTTTTACGCTGACAGTTTTAAGGTCCAAGCAGTCTTTTTCAATGGTACACATTTTCCATGAATTTTTTTTTAAAGATCCCCATTTGTAGGATAAAAATATTGAGCTTATTTGGGCATTTTCATAAAGCTAGAAACAACATACTAAGCATAAATAAAAAGCACATCGTTTAATATTTTAAAAGATACAGAATAATATTCATACCTATATTAATTTAAAAGTAAGTTTATATTTTTACTTGAAACACGAAAATCTCTATCATCTAACACAAAAATAGCATGTGGTTTCACTTGTTTAAAGATTATTTAAGGAGTGATTTGGAAGCACATATAGTGAAACTGGAACAATACCGAGAAGAATGCAATGGTCCCTGCACAAGAATGCTACACACATTGGATTAGCATTCCATATTTTTAAAATACAAATTTAAACAACGCGTAAAAATTCTGTATGTCCATTGAGTAATGGGTGGTGTTTAGATATTTGCGTGCGTTGTTTAGCGTTTAAGTTCATCACGCAGCAATATGCTCAAGCTTACCCATCCAGTTAGTCCAGGGTTTGTATTGTATTTGATATTTCTCTTGTAAATCTGAGACGGATTATTTTTTAGACTTCAAGCTGTCAATGTAAGATGTTTTTAAGAACTCTACACAGGACTTGCTGTATCTTTCTCATATTGAATCATTTCATTTCTACATGTTATGCTGACTTTACGGTATTTTTAGATTCAATAGGAGAGAAATTTACATGCGAAAATGAAACACAATCATTCTTTGGAATGAAAGCTTCTTTTTTGCTGAAGGATTTATTATGGAAAATTTGGCTACATTTTTTAAAATATCATTGTATTGCATTATAGTGGGGTGTGGTTCTTAGAAATCGTTTACTCTATAATTGTTTTTATGCTTTCATAATCAAATAAAAACTGAATCATTTTCCTTGGCATGAGGGAATGGACACATGATTAAAATATACTTATCGGTAATACATAAGATAATAGTGACAGAATTTGAGCTGTCATTTATGAAAAACATAAGAAATGTTTTCCGTTTAGTCTTGATCTATACCAAAATTGTGAGGATGGACATTGCCCAAAGATAGCTATGAAACTTTACCTTGCTTATTCAGTTGCCAGTGACTTTGAAGGCATATTCAGGGGACGTATCCAGAAGCTTTTTCTTCTCCTTTAGTTTCAGTTTATCAATGCTTAAGTGAAATTATTGGGAACAGATGAAAAAATTAAAACATAATGATCAATTGCATTTTGACCCTGTTTAGAAATAGAGTTGACCATTAAAAACAAAAATGAAATCAGATTTTTCTCGGCTGCCCTTAGACTGAGTGCAGAACCAATCAGTCAGATTGTGTGTCTGATTCATCTGTTTTCTTGGTGCTGCACAGCCAAATGGAAAACTCCCTCCACATGAACTCTTGGGCTGCTTCTGATAACTTGAAGAATTAAGACAACAATTGAGACCTTTAAGAAATCACTTCATAAATATTTTATAGACTTAGTATCCTTTAACTCAATAGGCTAAATAGCCCCACATAAATACCCCCAAATGCACAGAAAAAAAAAAATAGGCAAACGCAATCATCTTTCTGAAATTCTTTTGACTCTATACAAGGTTGGCCAGCATTGAGAATTGCAATTCAATTAGCTTAATTAAATGCAAGGTATTTTGAGGGCCCGGCAACGTAGCAGAGAGGCTAAAAGTCCTCCCCTTGCATGCCCAGGATCCCATATGGGTGCCAGTGTCCCATTGACCATGTTTCTGATCCAGTTCCCTGTTTGTGGCCTGGGAAAGCAGTCAAGAACAGCCCAAAGCCTTAGGACCCTGCACCTGTGTGGGAGACCCTGAAAAAACTCCTGGCTCCTGGCTTCAGATCGGCTCATCTCCAGCCGCTGTGGCCACTTTTGGAGTCAGTCAGCAGAAGGAAGATCTTCCTCGGTCTCGCCTCCTCTGTATATCTGACTTTCCAATAAAAATAAATAAATCTCTTTTTTTTTTAATGAAGGTGTTTTGAATACCAGAAAAATTAAAGTTAAAACACCTTAACAGAAAAAGGAACACTCTTGATGGAATTGCAAATTATTTCTCTTTTGCAAGTTTACTAATGAGACTGGCATTGCCATGCAGTGGACCAGACAGCCTCTGGTGTGAGTCTGGCATCCCGTGCGGGAGCACTTCTTCAGTTGGCTGCTCAGCTTCCAACCCAACTTCCTGGTGATACATCCAGGAAAAATAGAAAACTGCCCAAGTGCTTTGGCCACTGCTACCCACGTGACAGATGTGAATGAAGATCTTGGCACCTGGCTTGTGGCTTTGTCCACATCCAGCCCTGGTCATGGTCACTTGGGGAAAGAAATGTATGGATACAAATGCTCTCTCCATTTTCCTTCATTCCTCCCTTCCTCCCTCCCTCCCTCTCTTCCTTCCTCTCTCACTTCCTTCTTTCCTTCCTTCCTCCCTCCCTCCCTCTCCCTTTCTTCTTTCCTTCCTCCCTTCCTTCCTTCCTCCCTCCCTTCCTTCCTTCCTTCCTTCCTTCCTTCCTTCTTTCCTTCTTTCCTTCCTTCCTTCTCTCATTTCTTTCTTTCTTCCTCCTCCACTCTCTCTCTACTTCCTCCCCCAACTTTCTGTCACTCTGCCTTTCAATGAACTAAAATCCTTAAGCAAATAAAGCCAAGCCCGATTTTGGAAATGCATCTCCCTGAAAACTTATACCAGGAGCTGATACATCCCAAAGAAATTCTATCTAGTAGAGTTTTTTTTTTTAATATAGCAGAAAGCTAATATTTTCCAAATCACCTACACAAATGGCATTTATACAAATTTGGCAGTCATTTAAAGAATCCGTTTGTACTTAATATTCCAAGAATACACTGCATGACTACAAATATAAATTGGCATCTGTGAATTTTTGTCTAAACTGTGTGAGAATATCACAGCTGTTGCCTTGTGACATTTGTGTGTCTTTGCAAATGTGTGTGTGTGAGAGAACATTTTAATACTCTCTAAAAATTGTTTAGAAAGAATGCAAATGACTAGAGAGAGCTTTACACCAGAACTCATGCAGCTCCCAACCTTACAGTTTTATGCTTTTGGGGCCAGCATCTACTCTGAATTTCTATTCTGAATTTTGAAATATGTAGGAATTGGAATAATATCTGAATGGGATTATTTTGCATTCTAACATACCAAGTATCCAAACTTCACCCCAGCTCTTCTCTGTTTCTGCTTCCCCCCCCCGCCCGCTTTTCCTACTGTTTTTCAAAATCGCTATTAAATAGAAAATAAATGCAACAATGATTTCCACGAAGGGTTAAAGGCAACAGAAAAAAATAAAGCAATGAGTCAAAGAGCTACCCTCATACTCCTGGGTTGTTATAAAAGAGTTTCAGACACATACTCCAATACAGTGTGACTATCACTTCTCATGCAACTGCTGCTCTAAAATAAAATTATCTTAACACTCTCTATGAATTATTTAAGATGGGCTTTCATCGAGTGAGAATCTTTACGAAGAATTAGGAGACATTGGGGCTGTTACTAACGCTGAATACACTCAAAACTTCACTGTAGACATTAGTACAGTGAATTCATGTCAGTGTGGCTGCCAAAAAGAGAAAAGGTATGTTTTTCACTCTTGTACCATGATGTACCGTTGTTCTGCTTAACATCCGCTGCACACACTTTTCCATAGCACTGCTGACACTTCAGTAAACTGGATCCAAGAGACGGAGTACAAGGAATGTTGACCTGTCACTTCTCAACAAAGGCTGAGTGTCCCTTTGGTTTGCCTAAATATAGCTACTTGCATGTCTTCTAATTTTTTTTTCAGCTGGATAATAGGTAAGATAATAGCTCATCTGCAAATTCTCTTGCTAGCTAACACTGCTAGGAAAGAAATGACATTTGAACATAGAGCTCTTATATATTCTTATATATTCTTATGTATTAATGGACAAGGCATAAATATAGGCCTAAGATGCTTCTTATGACTTAGTACCTAGTTTATAAGAAAAAAAAAATACTCCGTTTTTTTTTTCAAGCTATAGAACTGTTTAACATCAGATAAAGAGTTTAAATTCCATCAGATTTGAGAGAAGCAAATAAATAAATAATAGGAAACATCCTGGTACAGGTACCTCTGCTTTTTGTTTTTTAAAGATTTATTTAGCTTTATTGCAAAGTCAGATATACAGAGAGGGGCCCAGCGTGGTCTCTCCCCGACTCTCTCTAAATATATCTGATTTGTAATAAAAATAAAAAAATCTTAAAAAAAAAAAAAGATACACCGAGAGCAGGAGAGATGGGAATATTTTCCATCTGCTGGTTCATTACCCAAGTGACTGCAACAGCCAGAGCTGAACCGATCGGAAGCCACAAAACCAGAGCCTCTTACAGGTCTTCCACATGGGTGCAGGGTCCCAAGGCTTTGGGCCGTCCTTGACTGCTTTCCCAGGCCACAAGCAGGGAGCTGGATGGGAAGCGGGGCTGCCGCGATTAGAACCAGTGCCCACATGGGATCCTGGCGTGTTTAAGTTGAGGACTTTAGCCACTAGGCTACTAATCTGGGCCACACATTCTTCTGGTTTTTTTGTTTGTTTGTTTGTTTGTTTGTTTTAATATATGTCTAATTCTTAAAGCATCCACACTTGGATTAATCATCGCAATAGTTAATAATCATACTATTGCAAAGGTTTGCAGCTGCAGCTAGCCTGTTGTCAAATATCCAAGGAGTTATCAGATACCACACATCTGTTTACTACTGAAAGCCAGCTCACTCAACTTACATTTTCTTTATAAAATTTGTTCTAAACAGGAATGTATGTTGCGTTTCAGGCAGAAATCATAATTAGAGCAATAAAAAGTGCAAAGATGAAGCGTTTTGAAGTTATTACATTTTCCTAAACAAAAATAAATGCGTTATGCATAGCTTTTCCAATTGATATGCATTATGAACATATACGTAAATATTGGTGAGTCGTTGACCTAAGGGATTGTAATAGACATTTTAATTGGAAAACTTTTACATTGCAGATTCAATGCGAGTTGCCATAGAGACTTCTCATGTAGTCCACACAAATTCCTCTGTTGTTAATGCTGTGCTGATTTATAAGGCAAAATTAGCAAACACTGAGTCATTGTGAACTAAAAGTATGTTTCCTAAATTCATCGTTTCTATCCTATTCTGGTGCAGGATCCTCTCCAAGAGACTATGTTGCATTTACTGGCTAAAACTTGTTCCAATGTGGTAATGTCTCAGGTTTTGTGAGCTTTGGGTAATTCTGCATTCTAAAGCTGCCACATCAGTCCTTAATGTGATATTTTTTCTGACCCTAGAATGTTATTTCTTACAGATGACTCAAGTAGCAGTACGTCTTTAAACTTCACATCTCCGAAGAGATGG